TTCATGCAGAGTCAAAATCTTTATATACATATGACTGTACTGTTACTTTAACTGTAACCAATACAACACTCGCATCTGCAAAGACACAACTGCATGTGTCTGAACTCAAATATCTAAAGTAACATTCCATCTTTTATTAGCGGTTTCTGTAATTCTTTTAGAGTTTTCCTAAGGAAAAATATTAAACTACTGAAAACCACAGAGTATGAAAATTCTGTATACATGAATCCCTGTAAATATAATAAAATTCCACAGTAGTGTAAATTGTGGGCTCCGCAAGTAATTTACAGGCGTATATGAAGAAGGGAACAACTGAAAAGTCAATGATTAGCCTACAAACAGAGCGATGTCAACAATCCAAAAAGCACAAGACGACGGATCCTCACCACATTTTTCGATGGGTTCCGTGTTCCTTCCACTACCATCAATCCAATCTGTGAAGTTTAAGACCGGTTTTGCTTGTATTAATTCCAATAACAACGATACAACCTTAAACCAAAATAATATTTAAAAGCCATGCCTTTCATTAGAGATGTATGTAATTAGATACCTTCTGTTATTATGCTCTTTTCTCATAAGGAAATCTTACATTAACTTACATACTAAAACTCAAAGGGCAATTATTGGTCTATAAACTACAAATGTAATAACTGCTTTCATACTGGAATCTAATATCACAAATTTTATAACTGCAGTTACTCTACATAAGCTAATAGTAAAAGGCAATTAGTCTTGATTTGACTGTTTAATAACAGTATTTTGATTAATGGGGAGAGCGTACTTCCTTAATTCAATAAAAGGTATTCAGCATGGTTATTAATAGATGGAATAATGATGTCAAGTTCTGTCAGGGTTTCATGAAGCCTCCAGCCATTTTCACCACTGTGGTGGGGCACGTTGTCTCAGGACCTTTTGCGGATTGTCGTGAATCCAGCCACTTGGAACTCCTTCTTATTCTTCTCCTGCAAATCACATCATTCGCCATCACGCCCCCATCTGCTCCCTAGATTAAGGAGGGGGGGGGGGGGCACTGGCTGGCACTTCTTGAGACTCAGTCAGCAAACGCCTCCTGGAGTAGGACCCGGTCCGAAAAACAACCCGTGAAAAATTTACGTTCCGAAAGATGTGTGTTCTGGAAAAAGGGACGTCGGTGGGACCGTTTTCACAGCAACCTATTCACACTGTGCCACTGACGTCTTCTCTTACTGTAAACGCTTGTGGTTTTGCCTTTTGTTGCCATGATAAACTTGACGCCAGTGCGGTACCGTCACATCTATGCCGATGAAGAGGAATGGAGCACAACGATTGATCAAATGCTGCGTCTAAATTAATAAGGACTGTAACTGGCCTATTAAACAACACATCTTTGTAAGTCTTCCAGAGTGGAGGCCTACTCTGTCTTTGGAACATACATCCAATAGCTGTGAGCAGCCTTTCAGCAACATTAATAATATAACGTCAGCAGTGGACTCTGTGGTCATCCTGTTGAAATATATGAGTACCTGACTGACAATTTAATTCATACCCCCTCCTATCTATGCACCTCACACATTAATTAGAACTGTGTTGCACATCTAAGGCTTATTTATTCATTTTACGGTGAACTTCTGTTTTTCTGTTTGCTTTTAGTACAACTATTTATTTCTCAGTATAACTTTCATTATTATTATGTCGATTTACTACCATATCGCTACTTTAAATGTCTTTTTGCTGTCAGTGTTTATAAGGTGGAGTTGACCAAAATGGCCACCTTGAGTTTCACTGCAGGTTACAGTTGGATTGTATACCTTGCATGTGACAAATCAAACCTTTGAATCTTTGAATCCAATCCAGATCTTATAAGTGAATATGGTGTGGTGCATATGTCAATTTAACTAGGGTATTTTCAAACGTCAGCGACATGCAAACCAGCACCGCCACATTGACAAAATTTAATTCAATTAATTCTTTGTTGCCACCTGTGTGAGACAGTGCGGACTATACATAGGTCATAGTTTGCCTTTACAATAATTAACTAACACTAATACAATCTTGTGTTTTGTTTTATAGTCCAACATAATAGCAAACGCTGCTCATTAGATAGTGTGTTTATAGATAATACTTAAAACTGTATACCCGTGTACATGATTGCAGTGACCATGTATTAGATAAAGAGCTGGAAGATGGATGGCTGATTGCATTAATATAAGAATATTTGTAAAACTGCTTTGTGCAGTTGCTTCCAGGATAGGTTCTGGACACCCCATGACCCTGAATCGGACAAATGGTTTCAGAAGATGGACAGATTTGCGTAAAAATAAAGACACTAGTTCAGCACAGGTTGGCAGATAGATAAAGAAAACTACTGCAGCAGATCAGTCAATACTTAGATGTTACTATATTTATACATATTTATCATCTCTAGTTTTATCCTTGGCAGTATCCATGAGCCTATAGATATCTGGCATACGGATTCTGTGGTCTCTCAGACACGCTAACATTATTAGTGCTGCTTTTCACACAATTCTGGGGACAGCAGTTTTTCACCCTTGTTGTTTGGAGATTTATCCAGTTTCATGCCCGCTCAACCTTACTATTTTTTATACTTCCTCCTGGCTATTGATTTCAGCTGAATAAACAGGCTTCGCTTTGATTTGCAACTTATCAAACACGATTGAATCTTTATGTTTCTGTGTAAACGAATCGTGGGAAGTCCTCCAGAATTACACGTCCACTCAGAGTGCCAGACAATGTAACATAACACAACGAATATAAAAGCCTTTGACTCGCAGTTGTTTAAATTCCGCAAAAGGGCTAATTCATGTGTCCCTGCTAGAATCAGCTGTAACAACATTTAATCAAGGGGATGAAGGCTTTTGCGTATATTTTCTTAATGTCAAAATATGAACCGCATAGCTAACTTATCAGGTCTCGCGCCACAACGTAACGCAATGTGGCTTCGCCTTTGTATATAGCAATTAACGAGTCTGATTTGTGATTTTTACTATTTATGTCACTAATTGTGCTCACTTGGCAGATGAAAACAGAAAAGAAACTATACCACTGAAGAGAAGCTGGTTTCAGATTTGGAGACCTAATGTAGCAGACACTGTAAGCTTGGAGTGGAGGTAGGCACCATCACACCATATTACATCCTACTTCCACATCCTACCTCTGCAAACTGATCCTCTGTGGACCTTGAGTCATTAAACTACAAAAGCATTGCATTGCTATCCATCTCCTTTCTCCCAATCAGAAAAGAGCTAATCTATTGAACAGCAACCTCTGGCTCAGAAATATATCACATTACTTACTTCAGCCTAATCCAAATCTAAAAATAAGAAAAGTAAAAGGTCGAGTCTAAATGGGTGCTGATGACCAGAGAGAGTTGGAAAGCTTCAGAGGGGTTGTCCCAAAGGTACTTACAGCAGTACTCATTTCCAAAGGTACTTACAGCAATACTCATTCCCAAAGGTACTTACAGCAATACTCATTCCCAAATGTACTTACAGCAATACTCATTCCCAAAGGTACTTACAGCAATACTCATTTCAAAAGGTACTTACAGCAATACTCATCTCAAAAGGTACTTACAGCAATACTCATTTCCAAAGATCTCTCATGAAAGAAAATATTTATACTGTCTTGGAACTTAGAGACCACTTGATTGTTTTGTTTCCATTGAGCATCCTGGGCACGATGGAAAGAGAGAATTTTTAAAGGCTCCAATGATGGGCTATTCAGGTCCTGTTTTTTATTTTCGACTTTTTCTGGCTTTGTATATTTATTGCTAATGCATTTTACCAGAATCAAACCTTGAATGCTTCATTATTATTCGCTAGATCTGGCCAGCCTTGAGGCTGGTGTGAAAGGGAATAATCCCCATTCGCTGCATTTTCACTTTGACTGTGTTGTACTTTCCCTTCTTTTTCACGTAAGGCATGGCAGTGACATGCACCTGTGTACAGGCTGCTTTTGAGTGCAGTAAAACGTATTTATAGCATTCTCTGAATGTCCCAGCATTCTCATGTATGGGTTGGAAGTATAAGCGAAACAGTGAGGCATTGCCTAGGAAGCCCCATAAGGCACCTATAGACCTCATGCCATCTTATTTTGCCTACAGTGAGCTGGACTGAGATCCATGCATGCTGTTTTATTCCCTGCTCCACAGGGCATCCCTGCATTGGTTTGCATTAAGTGACATTGTAGATAGAATATCGGATGACACTGCAGTTTGGAACAGGAGGTACCTCTCCGTACACAGATGTACCAACACAAAATGTGTTACTTGAGGGGCTGAAGTATCAGCACTTTTCTCTATCGTATATATATACACACACAGAGACACACACACACACACACATATGTGTGTGTGTGTCTATGGTTATAAGGTTCTTCCACCTATTGCCATGAGTTCATTAATCAGCAAACAATACCATAATTACTTTTTTTAATTGTTTAAACCTACATTTCTAAGCACACTGCAGCTTTACAATAACAATTATTTGTTTAAGGTGGTGGGACACATATAGGCAGAGGTGGAGATTTCAGGTCCAGGGAGTACAAATCCAGACCAAGATTTGGTTTGTGTTGGTTCTGTGACTGTAACTCGATACTAAACTGGTTGGTTGAAACAAAATCTTGGTCTGGATTTGTACTCTCTGGACCTGAAATCTCCACCTCAGCATAGAGGATGTAATCATAAAACAGCAATTTGAAGGATTCCTGAGCTTTTATACCTTAGATGTTTTCAAAGACGTGTAGTGTGTCCTGTGTAGGTAAACTGGAAACGTCAATGCCAATTAAGCAAGTCACTCGCTGCCCTTTATTATCAGGTGTTGAGCTGTTGCCAAAGGGTCTTACAGCTGCCCTATGAAATTGCCAGGCAGTTATACCACTCAAATTACTCCATTAACAGCTGAGAAAGGATGTTACATTTTATTTCTTCAAGACATTTCACAATCAGGTGGTTCAGTGCTCTTACTAGACATGTAGGCTAATTAACCTTAATTCAGGGAAGCACATGACCCTTGGTCCCTTCACTGTTTCCACCAGTTCTGTGTCATCGGGTGGTCTGTATAATTCACCATATTTTACTTAAAGTCATTTAACCGTGTTCTGATGGTTCATGGCAAAATGCTCAGTCTTTACGCGATGTGTCACATAAGCGTCTGAAACGGCTGCCGCGCGTATGCGGTCCGGGCAGGAGTCCGGCGCACCAGTGTCTGCTCTGCGGAAATAAATCACCACGCTTATTGCCCTCCGCATTTATCATGGAAGGAAAGGAAGAAACTCCCCTCGGAGGAAAGGAGAATGCTGTGCTAATAATGGTGATTTGTGGGGAGCTCACAGGGGAACCCCCAGTGCTCCCAAAACTAAAGACCCAAATCAGCGTCTCTGCGTTTAACAATATAAGTTACCGAGGCTTCCGCGTAGCAAGATATATACTTCAGTGTTTCCGCTCTCTTGCTGGTGTTGAGAGAAGAGGTGAATATTCCCGGTGGGTTTTGCCTGAGAAAACTGCAAGAACTGCCAAGCAAGCACATGGTACTGGTGTTATTAAAATTAATGAAATATTAATGTTTGCACCGAACCGAAAGGGTCGGAGTTAAGCTTTCAGTTTCACATTGTTTTTTTTATTATTATTCATAAATAAACCGATTTGGTTTCCAGCTCCAACAGGAACGTGTCAGCCCGTAAGTCATTAAATCCACCGGACACCTACGCGGCTGCCCACTTCAATCCGCCAAGTGCGATTTTAGCATATTAAAATAAGTATTTTTTTCTCTAGGTTTTACCACTTTTTGTTTGAAGGGGGCGGGAGCAAAATCCTAAATCAGCATGATGAAGTTTTGTTGAAATTGGCTGAAATAGTTTATTTTAAAGAATTTGGAGGCTGAACACGTCGGAACTTAGAAAAGTGCAGGGCCGAAGTAAAGTTTGGATTGAAATAAAGCGCTAACGCTAGTTTGCTTTGCTTGAAAAAAATAGGAACCGTGGTAAAATTGTTGCAGTAAGTGATGATGGTTGTTGCCAGTCCTCCCACATTTCCGCAGGTTGTTACAAAACGTGCTGTCGTTGGGTGAAAACTTTTAAAAAGATTTTGGTTTATATCTTTTCTCGTATGAATTTTGTTGTTACGTTTTGCATTTTGTACTCCTGAAGAATCCTGCATGCCAGCTGTATTCTGTACTGCAGTGCTCAGGGAGCAGCTATTTGTTAAACCAAATATCCCTGCCAGAGTTCTTGTGGATGTTGGAACAGGGAATCTTTCCATGTAAATTAAGTTTTGTCTAGACATTTCCAGAGTTTCAGATGCCAACAGATTATAAATACAATGAATCTCTCTGGCTTGGCTCATGTACAAAAAAACTGGGAATGCGATATGCTGTAATTGGAATAGAGCTAATAAGCAAAAAGTAGTCAAATTACTTTTAAGTACAATCTAAACAATTAATATGATTAAATGCAATTAATTTAAAGCTTGCTTACTACAATGGATCTCTTCATGAAAATGTGCTTTTGTGTAACTTTATTAAAGACACCTCAAGTGAGGTTTTGGTGCTGTTGGAGAGGACAACAATGCATTAAACGCAGCAGACATATGATGAATAAGATGTATCCTGTCGTTAACAGCTGTTGCACCACAAAAGAAACCCGATCTAACATCATCTAAGCATCACTCAAGCGGTCCTGCTCACGGCTCACCCAGAGGCAAAGGCACGACCGGCTCCGGTGAGCTTATGGGCATGACGTCCATATGAGGAGTTAAAGGGGTTCGGTTTCCCCATGGGCCACCTGCGGAGCGGCCATTGCCCTCTTGTCCGAAGTGTGTCACATGACCCCAAGTTAGACCATTTGGGTAGAGCTGGGTGTAACTGCTAGTACTGTGTAGTAGAGGGGACACCAGCACATGTAAATGGAATTTATTTAACACAATACTATAAAACAAATATTTATTAAAGCTATTTTTAACACAGTACAGCATACTTTTGCCCATACACAACATCTACATCTTTTTTGATAAGTATGTGTTGCAGTTTCATATTTCTTGTCCAGAATCTTGCTGTAAATCAAGTTTAAGAAGACAGACCACGTTCGAGAGCATGACCTCTGCATTGATACACGTTTATGTGACACAGACCTGAGGAGCCAAGTTTAATGGTTCTGGGGAGTCTTGGCCTTTTCAATTCTGCACTTTGCACAAACTGAATTCTCAGATTATTCACAACTGAAATGGATGGTTATTTAGAAATGTCTCTGATCGGCGGCCACAGGGCCCATCATGCACACTTGTGTCCATGAAAGAATAAGAGCAGCGGCAAAGTTTCCTGGGGTTGGAACAGGAATTTATGCAGCGTGTGGATACTTGCCAGCTTACTCGCAATACCATGGTGCCCCCTTGTGGATTGGCATCACACTGCAAGTTTATAGCCTGGTTGACTTCATATATGACAAAGGTCACTCAGCCATGCACAGGTCTGGAAAAAATGAAGAGGCTACAGCAGAATTTTCAGTCTTACTCATTTCTCAATTTATGGGTATGTGACTGTGTAAAATACATTTTTTTTTTTGCAAACTCCAATCTGGTTCTATCATTAATTAAGGGCTTCTTCTTGGCTTTGTGGGTCTTCGGTTCTGCTTTAAGGAGCCTATAATGAATTGTTCTAGCAGTGCACTTCACACCACTTAATGTTTGAAGGTCACTTGAGGTCATCCTCTGATTTATGAGGCACTGCCGGATAAGCTGACGGTCGTCTGGCATTAGAAAGTTGCTCCTGCCCTCTACCTGGCTGGTTTCTGGTCGTTCCCTGTGTCTCCTGCTTCACCTCATTCTTGTGTACTGCTGTCTTAGAAACTTTGAGCCTGGAAGCGGCCTGCTGCTCAGCATAACCCTCTGCTAGCAGAACCGGGATCAAACCAGGATTTAAAAAATGCACATTTTGAAAAAATATTGAGTGGTCTCTTCATTTTTTTCCTGAGCTGTATATACCTTCGGCCACTGGCCAACTCACATCGCACCCGACCCCTATGGCCCCTCCTACAGGTGGTGAGCCCATTGGAGGGGGGACCCACGTGCCACCAGGCGCTCGCCATCGAGCCCCAGGCCTGGCTCCAGGGGGGGGGCCCGGTGACCCTACCAGGGGCATAAAGCCCCGGGCAACTTAGCTCCTGGGATCACTGGAACACGCAAAGCCCTCCACCACGATAAGGTGTCGGGTCCAGGAGAGGAGAGGGAAGTGTGGGTTTCCCTGCTGAGACTGCTGCCCCCGCTACTCGACCTCGGATCGAGCGGAAGATAATGTATGGATGGATGGATGGATGCTATATGCATGGTTTGTCATGTCAAGGTAGATGGTCAGATATGTTCAAGACAAAAGAGGCATAGAGATTACAGTATGTTTGCCCGGCAAGGTGGAGGTTTCAGTCCAGTTATGTCTGTGGTGCGTACATGTTCCGGTCATTGTTGCTTGTGGACTTGCATTACCAGGAACTGTGTCCCTTCTATATTCCAGAGATATTGCATGTTTCTGTTCTCATAAGCACATTTAAAATCAGTGCGCTTTTGGATAGCTGTAAATTCAAGGTCATTGGATGAACCCACTGGAAACCAAGAGCAACACAATTGCTTATTTTCGGAAAGCTCAAACAAAAAAGGCAAATAATAATTTCCGTGGTAGCATTACAGGGAATTTTAACCCCTTCAGAGGCCAGAAAGCATAATGAAGCCATTTAAGTATCCTTAGCTAGTATGGATTTCACAGGCCCAGTGTTCTGTATGCACAAGCGGAACAGGTTTCCTGTGGCTTACATTGCATTTATTGCTTTATACTGTATGACTTGGCCTTCCTGTTTCATTGTGGAGGAGGTAGCTGCTGATGTGGTGAAAAAAACAAACTAATTAACATAAAAGAGATTTTCATTATCAGCCATCATCAGTCCAACAGAGACACAACTACTTTTGATTATTTACAATTACACACTGAAGGTAGATGATTTACATACTTTATTGAGAAATATGCTGTTAGCCTAACACTATATATCTGTTTTATTAGCATAGCAAGGGGCGTTGATATTGTGGCAGATTCAGATCTGTTAAAAAGGTAGGATTATTTTTGAGAGATCATTAAAGCCTAAGGGAACGGCTCTTTGATTAGCACTGCAGCCTTACTCTTCCAGGGGCAGGCGTGAAGTGAAAGTGAAAGCTCGTCCAGGTCAGGCCATTCATAACCACCCCAATGCATGAGGCCATCCGGTGCAGATGAACTTCATGTTCTCCCTGCACATTGTGAATCATCGCGTGACACTGCTCCTCCTACATCAAACAGCCAATAAAAATGACGGGCTGTCTCAGGCATTGCCAGGTCCGTGTTCCGAGGCAGTAGGAAAACATACTGTGAATCATTCCAAACGGTTCTGGCCGGAGCCCTCAGAATTAAGAAGGAGAAAAGGCTTCCTGGCAGGTTGTTGGTCAGCGACGGACAGCCAAGTTGAAAACAACATTTTTTTAAACACTAATATAAACCAGGTGCCACGACGGGTTGAAAACATGGAATTGTAGATGGAGAAATGCAAGCAGTTAAACTGAATTGCATTGTTTATGTAAAAATCTGCATAAACAAATGAGAATTGTGTAGCTTGTATTGAAGGATGTTTTTTTCAGTGTTTAGGAAGAAACGGGGGGAAAAAAAAACCGTGAATGCTGTCTTATCAACATTTTGACCACATTTCTTGGTCAGAATATGCCTTCTGTAAATACAACTAAAAGGCGAAAATGAATTTCCAATATATAACGACACACACATTCTCAACCCTAAACTGAACATTACATACAACCCCAGGCTACAAATGGTAAGACATCATACAGGACGTGTGGCTCTTTAGCATTTACTTCAATGGGAGAATTGCTTTTCTCATCATAAATGCATAGAGATACATTTTTGTTTTTATTCCGTCCGTAAACTCATGGATGCTTAATATCAGTGGATTTTATTGGGAAACATATAAATATATCTAAGCCCTAGCTAAGATGTAGTTTGGCCCGTTCCTCTATGAATGCATGCTTCACATCTGTTGCTTGGACAGTCTGTGTCAGATCATGCCTCTGAATTTCAATGGGTCTGAGATCACGAGCCTCACCTGGTCATTCTGTTAGAGCCACGCTCTTGTCTTTTTGTGTTTTGACTCATTGTCATGTTGCATGAACAAACGTGTTTTAAATTTTCTATCAAAGACAGACTCCCACACAATCCGCTGCAGAATTTCTTGGTGCAACCTGGAATTTATTGGTCCGTATCAGATTGCAGGCCATGGGCAGTAAAACAGCCCCTTACTATTACTCCCTCCACAGTGCTTCAAAGTTGGGAGTTTATGGGCTTGGTATGCAATGTTTTGTTTTTCTAACCTTAGCTTTTGTCTGTCCACAGAACATTGTTCCAGTTAGTGCTCTGGACTATCTAGATGGCGTTTCGATAACTTGAATTGGTGTTTCTTGGAGTGAAGTGGCTTCCTCTATGGTATCATCACACAGTCACTGCTTCTGTTCTTGTTTTTCTAACTGCAGACTCTTCAGCACAGACCTTATCAAGGGCAAGAGACGCCTTCAGATCCTTATGTGTCACCCTTCCATTCTGTATCGCTTGTTTGAGGATTCTACAACATACCCTTAGTTACATAGCTCTTTTTTAAACCTTCCTTGTTTTACTTTGCATAATATCAAATTCTGGTATTATATTTTATTCTTTATTTTTTTTTGTATTTTAAAGCTATGCCTTGGCACAATAATTTCCCACGGGATGAATAAAATTTTATCTCGTCTTTCATTGAACTGATCATTGTTGGATTCCCTGACTAGGGCAAGCATCATGGTGATGAATGCTTCCATTTGTATAAACCCTGCCTGACTCTGCACTCGCAGAGGCCCAACTCGCTAAAAACTTTAGTAACCCTTTTCAGTCTTAAGAGTAGGGCTGTCACTATAGATTATATCGATAATAAAGTAATCTACTGATTATATAAAATAATAATAAAACTATATAATAAGCATTACAGTTGGTTCACACTCAGTCACACGTATGGTAAATTTAGGTACCACATTTAAGTTGCAAATTTTTGGACAGTCTAAGGACACTGGAGGATCCGCCGAAAGAGGGCGCTCACACAGAGTGAAGTACAGTACGAACACAAAGCGGCGGTGCGCGCGGCTACCCCTCGTGCCACCCACCTTTTACAGGCGTACACGATGTGTAATGTTGATATCACATTTGTCACATTAATAAGCTGTGTTAAAATATTTTTACTTAGAACAAACAAAACTCAGCAAGCTTTACAATTTTAATGACGGTTCTGTTTCAACATTATCTAGTATATATTAAAAAAAAAAAAAAAAGTCTAAAGTTCAGACTGCATGCACTATCCCAGACAATCTAATCATTCTTGTCCTCCCTGTTTCAACTCAGTAGTAGATATTGTGGTGCATTTGTGAGAAATTAAACAAAAATAAGTGAAAAGGAGAAAAGAGAACAAGTCTAAAAGACATTCGTCTTTCACTGTTTGGAAATATTTTGTATTCCACAGAGACGATATGGAGTATAAGCAAGTGATTTGTCGGCACTGCTTTGTGTCTGTTGGCACGACTAACGGCACCAGCAACTTATTTGACAGACTTTGTTGGTAGATAAGTTGTATTTGGCTATATAATTTTCAACTCCTAAATATCGCAAAAAACTTAAAATGTTGCAATGTGAACTTTCTCCATTATCGTTTCAGCCCTAACACACAATACATTAACAAAAAAAAATCTAATTGATTAAATGTACCGTATTATGTAAAATAATTCCACTAAGCGATTGGGCTAACCTGATCATTTAAGCAGCGAGTTTTTTTTACATAGGGGAATCGTAAAAAGTAAATCATGCAAAATAATTCTGCAAAAATAAGTCAAATTGGTCACAAAAACAGGTTAGGCTACCCCGAGAGGCTAAATGGCAGACATCTACGACTAACCTCGCAGTACGGGGTGAGTCCTTCAAACCCGATCGTCTTTTTTTAACATGCATTTGCAATGCAGTCGTGCTGTAGTTAAATTTAAGTTCTGCTTTGCAATACTTACAGAAGACTGCGTTTCGTTCTATAAAAGGACCCTCATCCAATATGCGTCGTCTTCCTTCCGCCATATTGCTTAGTAATCGAGAAGGAAATTTTGAATCGATGCTTTTTATAATCGAGTAATCGTGACAGCTCTTAGGAGGTTTAACAATTCTACTTCTGAGGTCCTCTGAGATCTCTCTTAATGGGACTGTTTTATACTTGAACAGAAATCTGTCATGATGAACTTATACTCAAAGTTGTGTGGTTTATATAAAACATAAAGCAGGATAGCTCAAAACATGTCTGAACTGAGACATCTGACTGCAATTATCCTCTTTTCAAGAGCTCATTATCCTAGTGCACTGTTTTTCAATGCAGTACTCAGGGACCCCAGAAAGTCCACATTTTTGCCCCCTTCCAGCTCCCAGCGCACCTGAGTCAAACCGTAAAGAACAAACCAAACAATCAAAAACACCGAATACCTGGTACACGTGTTGGGGGCTGGGAGGGAGTACAACTTGGACTCCCCAGGGGTCCCTGAAGAATCGTTTGAGAAACACTGTTCTAGAGATTCACATAGTCAGAGTTCAATGATCTTGACTATTAAAAGTTTAAAATAAGCCTTTTCATGACATATATTAAGATCAGATCACTTTCAACAATACTAATATATCTTTGCTCCTTGTTAGTTAGTACTTGGATGAGTATAGCTGGTATTTAGTGTCGGTATCAGAGGAGCATGAGCACTGACAGCATGACTGACAATAGATTGCCCTGTTCATCCATAGGTTATTCCTTAATTCTAATCAATTCTGAAACTTAACTGGATCATCACCAACAATGTTGCCTTGCGTCATACTAAAATATACACCAATGAACCTCATTTTACACACGTCTTTTCTTACCCTAAACTGCAAGTTTAACGCATCGCATTAACTTGAACATCAAAGCCTGGTTCATTTAAACATGCGTTTTTTGAAGACATATCAAAGTCTTCTGAAATTACATTTTAAAGCTTAAAATATGTAGTTAATAATAATTGATACTTTATTGATCCCTGTGGGGAAATTGTCTTTACGCCTTCCTCAACTCTATTTTGTAGAGTAGGTTGTCCACGAAGGGCAACCACCTGTATTGGCGCATAGGGAGCTGGGAGTTAAGGGTCTTGCTGAAGGACCCACAAACGTGCTGAGGCTGGGTTTGAGCCAGCAACCTTCTGATTACAGGCGCACAGGCTTCAGTTAAGTGCCATACTATACACATTTTAGGAGTATTGGTTTTGTAAATGGCACAGGGCAGATCAGATAAAAGACTACTCTTTAGCTCAGTAATGTTAATGCTTCCGTGGTTTCAGTATTCAAATAACCTGATTACATTTACATTGTTAGCATAACATTCCTTTCATGCAAAGGGGTGACAAGCTAAGAGTAACTGTCTCCTTTTCAATACTGCGTATGTAGTGTGGAGCAGGAGGAAAACCATTGTCGCAGCACTAGAGAGGTCAACAAAGACAAATTAACATATTAACAAACTAAATGTAAATGATACAAAGGGACTGTACATCATTATGTTCAAACAGGGTCAGTTTAACTTCATTCAGAGGCATTAGCAGGCATGGGATTGGTGATCAATAACCATGGCAACTCATGACATCATCCCCACCCAGGCGATTGGCCTTACTCCAAATGTTGCAGATTTGCTATATATATAAATACAGTGCTATATTTAGTATAATTTTAGTATAATTTGAATGTAATGGCGCAGGGTAAATTATTAAATGATGAGTTTCATATTTTTTCAGCTCGGATACATTGATGCGCTGTGGACAGGAATGTAGCTTCTGAGAAGAATCGGTCCCAACCTTGTCCGAAAAGACGGTGTAGTAGAGTCTACCATTTTATTTGAGGCAGAACTATCTAGGTTACAATGTTAGCTAGCAGGTAATTACATTATACAGTATAATCATTATAATACTATTAATACATTATAATAATATTACATTAATTGCAGATATTGGTGGTGTAAAGATGGCAATTTTTCCACATCATTTCTTGTATTAATAAATGGTAAAATGATTAATTTTCCCAGAACGACATAGACGTAGCCAGTGCTGCATTGCGTCATAGTTGAAGCGATAACATCCTAATCAAAATTTTAAACAGACTTATTATTTCAATAAGATTGCTTAAATCCAATTATCCAGTTAAAAACCAGAATTTCTCACCAGCAAATCTGCTGTTCAAAGAAAGGGAATTACACTGACAGTGAAACACTATTCGTACTAGATGTTTTATTTAGTATACTTTATTTAGTATTTAGTATACTTTATTTAGTATTTAGTATACTTTATTTAGTATTTAGTATACTTTATTTAGTATTTAGTATACTTCACTGAGGCACTACTGCAGGGCTACTGCGCACTTCTTGTCTCTATAATTTTTCATTTAAAACGTGTTGACTTCTGAAGGAGAGCGTAGGTGAGTCCTGTTTGCAGTGCAAACAGAGAACCTTGCACCATTTACAAAGTTCAAGGACAATAAGTAATACCCCTGCAGCTATTGTGTCCATCTGCGCATGCATATTTACATGCTTATCAGACGGAAATGGGTTCAGTGATGTATGACTTTACTATTCTAATTTCATAATAAATCTATAATCCATCCACCCATTTTCTACACCCGCTTGTCCTATGCAGGGTGGCGAGGTCTGGAGAGTATCCCGGACGCTATGTACACAAGACAGGGAATAACTTAGGATGAGGTGCCAGCCGATCGAGGACACACACACACACACACACACACACACACACACACACACACACACACACACACACCATTCACAAACACAAACAATTTGGCAACACCAATTAACTTATCTTGTTTTTGAACTGTGGGGGGAAAGCGGAGAACTCCGAGGAAAGCCCACGACGACACGAGGAGAACAGGCAAACTCCATGCACATACAGTTAGGACTGGGACTCAAACTTTGGCTCAGATGTGCAGTGGTTAGCATTGCAAATATTATTGAAAATATTTTACTTTACACAGAAATCAAGCCAAATCTCCTTTCACGCACATGAATATTGAAATGTGGCTGGGCAGAGGCTGAAAAGCACGGCATTTCCCTAATTAAATATTTTTGTAGGCAGTCCTGTTACAACGCGCGCTATCACACCGCCAATCTGTTCCTATTAGTACCCAATTCCAATACAATGCAGAATCACATTTATATCTGCACAATTTTCAATCAGCAAAAAAAGCACTATGCGAATGCCTTGCGCCTTTGGGAGAAACAGTACTTGCACACAAAAACAGCTATCCTTGAAAGTGAATGATAGTGATGTCCGATTCATGAACAAAACATTCTTTTGTATCAAATGATTCTTTTGAATGAATCGGTTGTAACGGATGTCAGATTTTAAAGAGATGAAGTTTTTGTACAGTACATCCATGCGTTGCCCAGGTCAAAGTCTTTCATTCTATAAATCTAAAAATATTTGACAAATTATCATATAACAACACAGCAATGTCTTTCATCTCACTTAGATTTTCTTTTTGCAGGCTGTCTGTAACCATTCATGGTGACTACAGTTCAATACTGCTGACTACAATATCTAAAACGATGCTTAATGAACCATTTGCCGTACTTTCTGATCCCACTAGATGGTGCTCTCTGTTCAAGTAAGGGCTCAAACCATGCCCCAAAGTAAACCAAGAGCAGCCATTTACTGGGGTCAGAAAAAACAGCAAATGGCTGATGAAGCATTGTTTTGGCCATCACTACTCCAGACTCTTGGCAATCAACAAATTAGCGAGCTGGGCATGTTCAGTTGAAGCAGTTACTAGGCAAATCTCATGAGACTCATAAGACCCATAGGAGATGTTTATGATATAACAATAAATGCAAACAATTACATTATTTGCCACTAGTATCACAATTTGTGTTATTTAATTAATTGTGTTTGGCGTAAGTCACTAAGTTGCATTCCCCTAACCCTATTTTTTCCATTGTATATGTGTATTTTAGTACACGATTTTAGTAAACTCAAGGTTTTTCAAGGTTATTATTTTTATGTATAATAGCTTATACATAAAAATTTTGAGCTGTGTCCCCTTTAAGGTAAGTTACCAAAATTTCATAATATCCTGAAATGGACTCTTTAGTCAAATATGCATCAGCATATTTAAATAAAAACATGTTGCACCACCATGTAAATCAATACTTAAATTATTAAAATTTATTTTTATTTATTTACAAAAGCAAACTTAACAGCCATACAAAGCTCTTGTTAAATTTTAAATGTATTTAGACTTCATGAAAAGTAGTTGCTGATTGCAACTTGCATCACAATTAGCGTTTGCTACAAAGCCAGTGGTTAATAGTTAATTCACTACACAATGTAACAGATGTGAGTACAAAAGGACATTTCCCCAAAGAGTTAAAACTGAATACAATTACAGCATTAAAAAATTATATTAAGAATATAAATAGTATTGTATACAAAATGACCAAATAGTTTCACATTACTTGAATAGACATATTTTCAATTGATCATTCTGAGGTCTTAAGTGGCATGTCTTCCTAAAATTAAAATAATTGTGAATACAGCTTTGACGTCAGTCCCTCCCACATCCATTTTCCGAGCGTGCCCCTGACACTACATATAAGGGAGTTTTGGTTTCATATTTCAGCAATTAAGCCTAGACCGTGCACAAAGCCGAACACAGTCGAGTATGCTGCCTTTTTAGACTGCTGTGCTTAGCCTGTGTTCCCACCACTGTTTATCCTCTCCAGGAATCGGGCATCCAATGCTTTCATTATACGTAACAGAGTAACACACTACAGCCAAATGTGCAGGTGTGCAGAGAGAGAATTGGAGAAATTGTCCATGTATCTGAAAAGGCTACATGCCACTTACGTTAATGATTAATTTACAGGAGTGGTAACGGTACATGAAAATGATTAATTTACTGCTTTAAATGCAGTGAGGTTGAGACATAGTATTACAGTAAATAATAATATTAAAGTTAACATTTAGTCCAGTACTAAGAACAATAAAACAAATAATATAGGTATAAATAAATTTGTCATATTTTCTGCAGTATATGGATAGTTGTAATGAGATAAACATTTTATAAGTGTTATTTTAAATCTCTATCTTCCAACCACTTACCCAGGTCAGGAACATGGGGACAGGAGGTGGCATTTATTCCGTGCAGCGCAGGATGTGACGTGCACCCTTGTTGGATGCTTGCTTATCGCAGGGCACACGCGCTACTTCACATGGTATTAAGCAAATGTGCCAAATGCCGTGGGCCAGATTGGCGGTATTCTGTGGGCATTATGGTTTAGAGAACGCGGAACCCTGAAGGATTTCCATGCAGTTCACTGTGATGAGCACCCCGGTTATTTCCCTCCACTGCCTGGTAATTGGGGTCTTCATCTTGTCCAGGGCCAGGTGCAGGTCCTGCACTAGGTCCCTAAGATGCTCTCCATAGTGACTACTCCACATATACAAGAAGTCGTACGCTGGCTTCCACATAGACTGTAGTGAGAGTACAAAACACAGGAAATTATACTGTAACATATCACTGTAACAGATCTGAGGAGTAATAAAACTGATTATTGATATTTGTTGTTTTCCGAATATTAATCAATGATACGTATTAGCTCTTATTGTAATCGCCAAAAGAATATTGATGAATGCAGGACAAATCATATAAATACAAACCTCAAAAAAGTCAGTGCTGGTGAAGACCAAGGCAACAACATTTGAGCCTGAAGTTTGCTAGATCGCAGACGTATTTTGCAAATTACAGTACTATCTTAACAGTATCAGAAGGTATTGCAGTCAGCAATATATTCAAATGCATAATTCCTGCATAATATAAACAACGATTTTCACCAAAAACGATATTCGATATTCGATGACTTGTTTTCTAAGGAATAATAAACTTATTTATCACTTTTAATAAATGTATCTCAGTAAATGTACAAAGGGCGGACAAAATAACATAACACACTGACAAAGATGAGTCTTATTTGGTTGAATGCAAATTATCAGCTACAAAAGAGACATTCATCACTTTGTTATGTGACATTTCAAAGCAACATGAGGCAACAAGGAGACCCAAAAAGGGCAAAGAGAAGGATCTGGCAGGTGCATTGAGTAAAAAAACTCCAAATGATTTCATGTGTCAAGGCGAACAGTTTCACGAACAACAACATCACATGTGAAAAATGGGGAAAAACTGTACTGGCAAAGAGGAACGTTTGTTTGAACGTTTGCACACTGACGCCATCTGACAGGGATAGATAGACGGACTGTTCTTCTACACCACAAAAGTACAGCCTCAAAGATTACCACAGAATTAAATATGGCCCCTATAAGCCAGTCTCAAAAAAATGCTTTCATCCAATGCCAATGCTTAGACTTGCATAACCTGATGCAAATAGCACAAAACTTGGACCCCTGATCAATGGGAAAAGTAATCTGGTTTGATGAGTCATCTTTCACTCATTTTTCCAGCAACTCTGGTTTACTTTTGGAGAAATCAAATGATGTCTTCAACCCACCAACACTATTACCAGCTGTTTCACATGGTGTGGGATCATTAATAGCATGGACGGCCATCTTGCGTGAGTCATTATGTTTCACGATTGCTTCCAATGGCTGTGCAACAGCTAAGGAATATGAGGCCATTTTCCAGGACCATGTGCCCCAGACAGTGGGTCCCCAGGACTGGAATCGAGAACCACTGCTCTATTACTGGCTGACTGAGATGTCTTCCAAAAAACCTGCACCCACAGCAGCTGTCCATGGATCAGGTTCACCACCCCTGGATTACATTAAATGCACCTTCATAATGCATTCATAGAACATTTATAAGCAGCATGTAAGGATACCTTAACATACCTTAACACCTTTATTATACAGTATAATGAACATTATATGATAATAACAAACACCATAATTGTATAATTGAATGTATTATAAATGAAGGTATGGTTAATGTAAAGTATTACCATATATGGTTAGGTGTTCTATATTTTATCCACCCCTTGTAGCACAAAGTACATAACCTCGATACTTAATTTTACAAAAATTACAAACATAAAAGGCAATACATAAGATCATCAGAATTCACTTTAGTGAGTTATAACTACAGATGTCCATCCATCCATCTTTTCTCAAGGTGCTCATTACCGTTTTGCCTCACCTGACTGCTGACCTGGCCAGATTTGTCCTGGTGTGGAGTCTCATATCTGGCGATTTGAGCACTGGAGAGTTTTCCAAGCTTTTCAGCGAGCTCCCTCCATCGCACCCCGAGCTCCACCGCCGTTGACAGAATCACGGTGTTCTGCGTTAGACGAGATACCAAATCCTGGGCATCCATCTTTAGGAGACCCTGGCAACCCAAACACGTACACACACTGTATTAATATGGCTTTCAGCTGTGCTATTCCGGCAGATAAGACAGCACCATAGAAAGGCTGTTACCATATCTGCAATCCTTTTCTATTCAATACAAGAAATTCTATTAATTCAATAATTAACAAATATTTTGTTTATTTTGAATAACCCACTGTACCATGTATATTTATATCAAAATACTGGACAACAGCAATCAATCATCTGAATTTTGTGTATGAAGAATACCTATAAAAACAGTTCATATATTTTTCTCTATATATAAATTTTCAGCTACTTATTTAACTTTTAGGCAGCCTGAGCATTATAAATGCAACCAATTTATGCATTATTTGTGAATTTGAAATTATAATTGTCTGGATAAAGTCATTCATGTCACCTGAAACTGTTTGCAAATCTTGTGCCATTCAGTGAAGTTACACATCTGCACAATCACAGAGTAAAAGGCAGGGCAGTTTTGAAATATGTCACTGATCTGCTTAATGGTGTAAAGTTACCAGCACAAGCGATACTTATGCATCTGAAAAACGTGAACCCAACCAACAGGTTTCATACCATGACCCATAGAAGAATGGGTCCACTCAGCGTTTTTCAAATGAATTTCACATTAAAGTTTATTAGAATTTATAATTTAAATGGGGACACATGGTGTTACATATTTTTTTAGAACAAGTTTTTGCTGTTTTCCCATCAGTGTAATACTGGCTGTGTGATAACCTGAATCGTACAATAATAATAATAATAATAATAATAATAATAATTGACACTTTATTGATCTCTGTGGGGAAATTCTCTTTTCCATGATGGCAAGCTTGGCCACGAAGGGCAGCCACTCGTCACAATGTCCAGCCGGGGGTTAAGGGCCTTGCTGAAGGATCTTCAGATGTGCTGAGGCTGGGTTAGAAGCAGCGCCCTTCTGATCACGGGCACTTATCACAGATCATAGAGACTTAGCCCACTTGGGACTGACTTTATGTTGACTGAAAACCAGAAGCACGTGTGTATTGAAGTATATTATAATTATTTAGACTTTATTTTTGAATGTCAGTTTTATGCAGCTTTGATGAATCCAAAGTCTTCTTAGGTAATCATAAGCTAAGATTTATAAACTTTTTATATGTGAGAAAATAGTGGTGTAAAAATATCAATGGGATAAGAACGGCATGACCTGCTCCACCCCCCCCCTCGTGCTTCACACTTACAACAATGAGTTCATGCTGAAACTTCTTCCTGTTTTTGTCCGAGTGACAATCCTCCTTGAGCTTCTCAAGCACACATGCCACTTTTTCCGACTCTGTCTCGATCTGCCTCCAGACAATCTCATCCAGGGAAAGGTTGCTGTAGCCCAAAGCCTCAGCGAAGGTCCTCCAGCTGCTTACATGCTCTGTCACCAAAGTCTCAATGGTGGAGTACACGTATGTTAGCTTCTTAAACGGAATAGCTATGTTGTCCAGAAGCACTTGCGTTTTCACCTCCACGTCGGTAAAGTCAATCACCTGATCTTTGGGTATGACCTTCACATTCTTCGAGTGGAGCAGACCAACTCGACCCCTAAGGAAAGCGATGTACCACTCCTTCACTTTCGACTGACCCACTGATTTTACTGTGTCTCGAGAAAGAATGGCCACGGTCTCACCCTTAATGTAGTCCAGCAGGTATTCAACCCTCGGCTGATGAATGACTGACTTCAGCGTCACACCATACCACTTTATACATACTGGCCGGTCCTGAAATTTGGGAGACCGTTCTATCGTTTCCTCCGGAATTGTTTCAACTCCTACTTTCTCCCTGAATGTCTCTAACCTCTTCTGAGCAAACTTTTCTGTCCTTTGACGCACAGGACCTGGAGTCTGCACCTGAAATTCAGTTAATGATGAATCCTTTGAGTCTTTTATCTTAACGACTAATTTGAAGGGGACCACTTCCTCTCTGACAGTCATAGACACTGAAAATGGGAGGCGGAAGACCTGGCATGTTTTGAGGTCCTCTTTCTTCAGCACTTTAATTTGTTCACCAGCCCTAACCTCAAATGTCGTTCCCATTGGTTTGGTTGTAACATACAGATCTTTGAGCCCATTCAGGCTGAAATTCTGCTTGCCCCAAAGCTGCAACACAAGTGGCGGCAAGTTCTTAGGACCCCTTTTGGAGTTTGAAAATGGTAGCTTCTTTGGGATTTCACTGTGACAGGAAACGACGCAAACCGCTTTGAAAGATGGATGAATATGCCTTGGTCCGTAAACCCCAATGGTGAGATGTCTGTTCATGTAGTCCCACACAGATGTAGCAGGTGGCTGGAGAATGGTGGCCTGCATGGCAGCAATGATATACATGTGCGGTTTTAAGTTTTCGATCTTCATCTGTAAGGTGTTGTTATATAGGTAACAGTGCTTTATCTTCTGGAAAGGCCCGTCCCTTTTATGGGAAACTAAGCCAGTCAACTGAGTCATCACCTGACTTAGTGGATCATTCTTTACTTCCCCAGAAATCTTCATTAATAGAGAAACAGATGTCTTCATGTTGATGTTGCTAAGACTCACTTCCAGGAGTGGACTTACAACTGTTAAAAGGTCATTGCAAAGACCAATTGGTGGGTCTAGGACTGCCTTCAACCCAATTTCCTGCATTTCCCCTGGAAGAACATGGCCTTCTGGAATATAGACACTTATGTCAGAGTTAGGCAACTGAACAGAGCCACCACTGTGCCCGATCTTGCAGACGATCTGAGTCTCCGAGGCTTGAGTCTGAGCCCACCCCGGACTCGTGGAGCCAAGGTCTAGGCAAGACCTCGTTAGCTGTCTGTGACTCAGCCAGGCCATCTTGTAGGCTTCCCTATCATCCTTTAGCCATTCAAAATCGGGGTTTAAAAGCTGACTTGAGTAGCTGAGGGAAGCTTCTTTTTCAGTTTCCGTCTCGTCATTCACATCCAGGATATCTGAGGCACTTTTTCGCCTCTCAGACTTGTTCTTTCGTATCGGACTGAAAAGCTGGCCAAAGTTTGCCTCATCTGAAGAATTACTGAAGTCCACATTATTCTCACCAAATATCACAGAGGGATCTTCCTTTAGAATGGAAACATCTGCAATTGATCTCCTACTTTCTTTGTCAGTGTGCACGATATCATCCAAAAATGGATTGGAGCCAGAAAGTCCGTTCCAAAAGGGATTAGTTTTGTGTATAGTATTGTGAACCTCAGGCTGTAAAACTGGCACATCAGACTGCTTTGTCATGTGAGGTGCATCAATATCTTCTGTAAAAGAGAGCAGTATATTATAACAGACTTGAAATCCCAATACCAAGATACTAATGCAAAACAATAAGGCTTATGTAAAGGTATACAGAAACTTGTTAAACAAAATATTGTATGTTTATTTTGAATGTAAATTGAATTTGTTACCGCTAAATTTGTTTGGCATCTCATCCTCATTGAAATCAATCAACATTCCCTCGGATCGGCTCCTGAGAAGACTGCTTGTGTGACGTAACATTGTTTCAATAGCTGTCATTTTCACACCTGCAATCATAAAGACAGGAAATTGTTCATTTGAAATGAAACTGTGTACAAAACTTCATGCAAACGCACACACACATTCATAGGATATATATAACATTCACACGACTTTCCCTTATATACACACACGTTATTCCAATGGTGACAACTCCCTTACAATATTACGTAATTCGTGACTTATAGGTTCATCAAGGACAACTCATCATTCTTATGTCTGGACTTCATCTTGCAAGATGAAGGGGAACTTCTCTGAAAAGTCTCCCAAAACGCTTTACACATTTCAGGGTAGACTTTAAGTACATGTTACACTATTTTTATGAAAGAAGTGGATTAAAGGAAAGTTAGATTAGTGTGTAGTTTCAGTGTTCATAACCTCTACACCCCATTGAATAACAACTGCAAGTAACATACCACATAACGAGTATTTTCTGCTCAATTAGGTGAAATGCTATTGAACCCCTCCCCCGACATGCCTTTTGTACACTTTTTGGTGCTCATCTCATGAAGAGGACCAAGTAACAGCTCAGTGTTTTATATATAAGTAGTACACATTGACCACAAAAAAATATGCGTTGAGTCACTTACGATTTATTGGAATCTTATAGAGTACGCCATGCGTACATTATTTCCAAACGACCTTATAGGGCCTGCTACAGAAACATCCATTCTCCAGTGCCGTAAAATAGCAGGTCTTTGAAACAGTAGTTGCTAGCCTTAATCGCGTGTATATAAACATACCAGATTTAAGACCAGTGTACGTTTCCGGCCGTTGCTGATGCGCATTTACTCTCTCTTTGTCGTACACCTATAGGGATTTGGTTTTACTCACATGGGCATTACACATTTTTATATGCGTAACATCTAAAGATGAACGTCTAAATATTTGGACATGAAACCGAGCTACGTGGAATTATTGCGCCTGTCAAACGCAGTGAGTCATTCCTATCACATTTTCTTACTTCGGTGAATAAAACAGGTTAGTCCTGTCTAGGACTATACAGCGTTTCTTTTCTAAATGTGGCTTCGTACGATCCACAATCATACAAGAAACTAGGTAAATTAAGACTCGTGTTACGGTGTCTGTACACTTGCACGTTTTAAATACGTCAATGCACCTGTTCCCACACTTATTTTTATATAGACGTTCTGTATCTCCTTTTGTGATTCATTTAATTGTCTGTAAGTATATTGTATAAACTTATTCTTTACAAAATCCAAGAAACGTACACAAACTTAATCCATCAACCATAGTTCTACTCCAAGATTTTAACAAAAATGCCTTTAAGCATTTTGTATTTGTACACAATTTGCATGGGTCGGACAGGTGTCTTTCTAAGTTTTCATACAATGAATGGAGTTACTCACCATCGGAACAAAATCTATTTCAGTCCTCATTTATACAATGCAGGCTACATTCACTTCAAGTCTCCATCGTAAATCCGTATGATCGTTTTTATCACCGAGGAGTGTCCGAAACCAACACCTTTCGCTCCAGTATTTCTCTCTCAGCGATTATTGTTCTGTCAAACCTCCTCCCCGGGGCCGACACTCGTCATTTACACGGCAGTTTTGTTTTTGGCAGCGTTTCATTCGCACTGTACAACTGCAACTCCCACAGTTCCCTGCTCCAATGACGCAAAAGTTTCAACACCTGAAACTACTGAAAGAAAGGTAGTTTCGGTGTTTAGAGGAAGTTTATCTTGGAGTTCGCTCGCTGTTGAAAAGCTATTACCGCGTGTATTTCTTAACGACGTTATGTCTAATTAAAGTTGTTCTATGCTATTGCAGCTCATCTAAATGTTTTCTTGTAATTTGTTACAAGAAAGAGACAGTGCAAACAGTAGCAATAATAAACATTCAGTGTGCAATTACAAGATGCAGACACGACAGTAACATAACATACAATACAGTGAATACACATATGACAAAACATTACTGTTGCAGAACAGAGAATAAAAAGATAAATAGTTTAGATCATATAATGTTCAACTGTGAATGCAGTGTCGTAACAATGTTCGTTGCGCTTACTGCTGATCGAGGAAAGGCCAGGCGCTGATCGAGGGAGGGGGGCTGTTAGGTGTTAATGCCTTGTACAACCTGACAGCATCAGAGAAAAAAGATCCACAGTGACACAAGGTACGATGGTGGAACAATCCTATCGGTAAATCCTAGATCTTCTGTGCCTCACACGAGTCCCATTTAAGGTCGATCATAACCGTACCGTACCCGTGACCAACTTGTAAAAAAAAACCTGCCTATATATAGGTCTGGGGGTAGAAAGTATATCGCAAACATATAGGCTAGCAGTCAGTGAACCAGCTTGGTTATTTAATGCTGCTAGGTTGAGTTTCCAGTGAGTGACTGGTAAGAATTAAGTGCAAGTTAGCAATAGAAATTACATTATGAAAATGCTGTTGCGTTATGAAACAGTTTGAACATGTCCCTTGCTAGGTTATCTGTTAGTTCCCAGCACAGAGAGAGCTACGGTGTGGGATTCGCTCTCAGTCTTTACTTCTAGTTGAAAAACACACTTGTTTAGATTAGCTTACCAGCTTCGGATAGTGATACACCCTCAGTCTCATGCAGGGGTACTCAGGAGGCGGACTTTGGTCACTATATGGACCAAAACCCAGTTTTTTTCTGGACCATGTGATTGATCATCAAACTAATCCTTGGCCCTGGAAAATTTTTTATCGGGGGCAGTGGCCTTAGGCTTTGTGTTGATGGTGAAATTTGGCCCGCAGAGGAAAATAAATGAGTACCCCCGGTCTACTGAGTGGACGGGTGTCATTCCCTCTGGATACAGCTTCCTTATCCCCTCTTCTAGGTTGAACCACTCTAGGTGCAGATAAAAGGGAGTTACCTGCCTACACCATAACCTAACATGGTTACCCCCCCCTCATGCTTTTCATCCAGTCCCCAGGGCAATTGGGGTTAAGGGCTTTTTGCTCAGAGGCTTAGCAGTGACATCACTCTGCTGACTACAGGATTTGAATCGGCAACCTTTCAGTCATGAGCGCAGCATCCTAACCCCTGAGTCACCCCCCGCCTCCTCTGCCATCTGCCTGAATTTACCTTGCGCTGTAACTTACCTAAACTTGTACTGCAATGTACCAGCGAGAGAAGGATGGGCTTCGCCCTTGATTCTAGCTTCTCCCAGAGGTTACTCCTCTCTCTCAGGGAGTTCTTTCCTGCCATTGTTATCCATGTAGAACTGCTAACTTATTTGGTCCAGTTAGTCTGACGCTGACGCTCCAAATAAAGAGCAAAAGCGTCGGATGTGTGGAAGCACTTCACATTAAAACAGAATGAAAATGTCGTCATCTCTAAGCATGCAAAGCAGAACTTAAAAATCACCACAGAACGACCAATGCAAACATATCTGAAAAGAATATATATGTGTTTGACGGACTCACCCAATAATCACATGCAGGTGGAAATTTCAGGTCCAGAAAGTATAAATCTAGACCATGATTTTGTTTCAACCAACCAGCTGAATACTCTGTGACAGTGACTCTTCATACTCAATTGGTTGGTTGAAACAAAATCCTGGTCTGGATTTTTACTTTCTGGACTTGAAATTTCCACCTCTGCCAATAATGCAAGGTTAGCTATAGATATTGTAGAGTATGTGCAATTTAGCCTGGCAGTGTAGCTTAGCCCGTCTTTGTCATCACGTTCGCTTAAACGGTTTGATCAATTTATTATCTACAATTCCTGTATGTCAAAATAATCACTGCTAAAATGAAGGTTAGCCCAGTCGCTTAACCACATCACATTACATACACATTACACATCACCAATATATTAACATGGCACATCGTGCAAGTCATAGGCATTGCTGGCACGTTGGCGCAGTTGGTATCGTTGTTGCTGCACACTGCCAGTTTGTATGTGTGGAATTTGCAGGCTCACCCTGTGTCAGTATGGCTTTTTGCCGGATCTCCCAGTTTCCTTGTGCTGTAGGAAAACACGCAACTTAAGTGGATCGGAGTGGCTAAATTGCCCACCTGTGTGACTGAATATGCGCCCATCAATGCTTGGTTAGGTCCAGCCTCACGCTAATTTATATATTATATTATATTGTCAGATTAATCGCTAGATATATAGTGACAGCCCTAAATTTCAGTGACCTATGTTTAAATTGATGTTTAGAAATCGATATTTTAACTCTGACGGTGATATTAAAATCACCACCTTGAAGAATGGAGACACAATGTAACACAATCGATTCCCCCCCGCCACCTCTAAAAGAAGGTGTACTCTAGGGCAAGGTTTCTCAACCCAGTCCTCGGGGACCACCAGACGGTCCACGTTTTTGCTCTCTCCCAATTGGCAGGGAATTGGGAGAGAGCAAAAACATGGACCGTCTGGTGGTCCCCGAGGACCGGGTTGAGAAACCCCCTGAACTTCCAGAAATCGTAAATAAACCCTACTAACTTTAGGATAACAGCTCTGTCCCAAACCACTGACCACCACATTTTGTTAGCTATAGCTAAACTTATTTAATCCGTATGATTTGGGTTTGTTTTAGAACCCACCCACTCAGTTTGGTAATTTTACAGATAATCATTTAAATAACACTTTAAATGATAACTAATTAAATAATAATCGAAATGACATATTTCTAAATAATCATTTCACTGACAATTTAAAGTATAATTTATATAATCATTTACGCAACATATTTGTGGTATAATGTCAGAAAACACCCTCCGTACTTCAGAACATTTTTTTTTTACTTTTTCTTGGTTGATCTCTGCTCTGTGAAGGCCAATGCTGCCACCTACAGCAAACACCTAGTCAATCATCTTGCACATGCGCAAGCGACATGCATGGGCATGCGATCCCGGGTGTGATTACCGAAACCGATCGACGTGGATAAGGAACGAGTAAGATTCACAAGTGTTTCCAAAAACCCTTCGTAATTCCAGATACAACGAACGAACTTTAAGTGGCACTCTTAAAAGCATTCAATGGTGAAATATGTTATATGATTGTACGGCCTATATGTCATGATAATTAGAAGTCCAATAAAACACACGAAAGTAACCAAAATAAATGTACTTATTTGTTGAAAATATATAAATGGCCGCAAAATGTGATGTTGCTTCCTGGTAAAAAGGCAACGGGAGCAGCAATAGGAAGAGGAAGTAACATTTCTCAAACGAAACCTTATCAAGGAGGTGCTCAAAAATATACTTCAATAAAATAATTACTGCAGTGTTGTGCAGCATACTGCTGTCTCCCAATAACCAGCAAACACACCATCCTTTGCCATCTGACTCACTGCAGAGCTGGACCAGATATAAGCATCCTGTGCACTCAGGCCACTTGGTCACAATGTCTGTAAAATGTCCTTGAGTTGCATATCACCCTTTTGCATTTGCAACTTCAACTTCGACTTTATTTGTATACATTTAAAACAACTATAGTTGACCAAAGTGCTTCACAAGTTAGCCAGCAATAAAACAAGGAACAATATAGACAATAGAATACACAAAAATAAGATGAAAATAAAATAAAATAAGTGCAATAACGCTGCACTAAGATGTCTGGGCTCAACTCGAGCCAGTAGCCAAGGAAAATAGGTGGGTTTTAAGTAAGGACTTGAAAGTCTCTAAATTACAAACAGATCTGAAGTTCTGAGGTCGGCGGTTCCACAGGACAGGGGCGACAGCCCTACTGCCATTTGCAGATGGGATTCAGGAGACTGCAAGTACAAAAAGGGCTGAGTGTTCCATCTACTGCACCCAAAATGCCTGCAAATGCATTAAAACCAGTTTTATTGTCATACAAAGCATCCCCCAGCTGAATCTTCTGTTTAGTTGTGCGCGTGGTGCAATATAAATGCGGTCAGTGCATGCACAGGTGCAGGACACGGCAGCCTTGCTGAGGCCATGTGCATCTGTAGGTCTGCAGGAATCCACCAATTCAAGCGGAGAGCAGTCAGAAGGTGCACTCTGGTGTGATCCTCTTTTCAGTTCATTCTGCACAAGACCAAGGACGCTCATTATGTCACCCAACCTGTATTTTTCTATGAATTGTTCAGTATGAAGACCGCATTTGAGACAGCCCCATCAAGGAAGTGAAGTTGCTTGTCTAAATGCTGTTTTGCGGGAGCACGTGAACCCCTCGGACTGCCTCCGTAATGAACAGCTCATGGGGAAATACAGGATGGCCTGGAATGAAATAACGAGATTCTTAATGGTCTCAGGTTATTGCTGCTGAGTTTGTGCTGAATAAAAGCAGATGTAATGCTTTGGGGAAAATGTTTTTTAGATATGTGAAATATATAAAAATGTCAAGGTATGTCAGGCTGCCTCAAAAAGTGGCTGACAGGCCTCAGACTCCAGGGGACTGAGCCTCCATTTTAGTTATGTAATGCAAATGCGTGAGCAAGGGGGACACAGCATCAGGTGAGCAAGTTGGCGAGAGGTTTAGCGAAAGGTCCCAAAGAATCAGGACGATATTGCCCTCTAGTGGTTGTATTAATCATTACGAATTTAATGACCTGAGGTTTGCGATATAGTCATGCTTAAAAGCAATTCACAAACCACACACAAATGCTTTTTAAATAACAGATTGTATTTT